AAAGGCACGGCTCCACGACTAAGAGCATCGGCTACCTTGTTTGCTGCCCCTTTCAGGTAGACTATCTTCACATCGTACTTCTGTAGTTCCAGGGCCCAACGAAGTATTCTGGCGGAAACGTTGCTCCTTTTGAAAAGAGCTGTTAACGGTCGATGGTCCGTAAAAACTTCGATATGAAGGCTATAAACGAACATGTGGAACTTTCTCAGTGCAAAAACTACTGCTAACGCTTCTAAATCTGTTACGTGGTAGTTTTTCTCACATTTGGACAGACCAACGAACATATGGAACTTTCTCAGTGCGAAAACTACTGCTAACGCTTCTAAATCTGTTACGTGGTAGTTTTTCTCACATTTGGACAGACCTTTTGACGCGAAAAATATAGGATGGAGGAATCCATCGTCTCCCTCCTGACTAAGTACCGCTCCTAAGCCTTCTGTGCTAGCGTCCGTGTGAATCTTAAAAGGCTTTCTCCCACTCCTTGCTGCTTCAATATCTGGCTGAGCTAGCACGGGAGCCTTTGTTATGATCTGACTCAGTAACGCTCCTAGACCTTCTGTGCTAGCGTCCGTGTGAATCTTAAAAGGCTTTCTCCCACTTCTCGCTGCTTCAATATCTGGCTGAGCTAGCACGGGAGCCTTTGTTATGATTTCCTTCAGCTTTTCGAATGCTTCCTCCGCAGGAGGAGTCCAGATGAACGCTCTCTTTTCGGAAGTCATCTCGTGCAGTGGGGCTGCCACTTTCGAAAAGCCCAACACGAACTTGCGATAATATGAGCACATACCTAGAAACGAGCTAAGGTCTGCTCGCGATTGCGGTAGTGGGTATCTATTGATGGCTTCTACTTTTGCTGGTTCCATGTGCAATCCTTCGCCATCAATTACATGTCCTAGAAACTTTCTACTTTAGCTGGATCCATGTGCAATCCTTCGCCATCGATTACATGTCCTAGAAACTCCACTCTGTCCTCAACTAGGACGCATTTCCTCGGGTTAAGTCTTAACCCTGCTTTTCTCAAAGCTTCGAGCACCTCTTCCATTACTTTCAGGTGTCGTTCGACAGAATCTGTTGCTACCATAATGTCATCCAGGTTCGACAGAATCTGTTGCTACCATAATGTCATCCAGGTAGCAGAACACCTCATCGCCTAGTAATGGCCCGAGTACTGTGTGCATGAGGCGTTGAAACACCTTTGGCGATGATGCTAGCCCAAACAGTAGCACTCTAAACTGGAATAGTTCCTCTGTTGTGGTGAAAGCAGATTTCTCATTGGCGTCCTGCAAAAGGCTTATCTGCCAATATCCCGAGGAGAGATCTAAGGTCGAGAACCTTCTTTTTTCTTTCAAGCTCTGTAATATTGTGTCACTAGTTGGTAGTGGGTAACAGTCCGTCTTCGTTACCTGGTTTACCTTACAGTAATCTACGCTTAACCTCAACGTGCCACCCTGCTTCTGGACTAGTACGATGGGAGAAGCCCAGCTTGAACTGCTTGGCTCTATCACCTTCCTCTTCTGTAGGTCATTCAAAATCTGACGAAGTTCTACTCGGGTACCTAAGGGTATTGGACGAGCTCTTTGTCTGATCGGCTCCGCGTCCCCAGTTTCGATCGACTGACAGCGAATACATCACTAAAACTCTTAACGAGGTTAACCATACCTTCCTCTAGTTTACCGTCCTTATTGTTGTGCAACAAGCCTAGCAATTTCTCTATGCGGTCCCCAGTCACTTCCGCAGTTCGCTCAAGCATATCGCCGTGGCACTCCACAGGCTTCGTTTCGCTCACTTTAACTGGCTCGAAAGTACCTACCTTCTCCCCCTTTTTGAAAAGTTTTGCTCCGGCAAAATCATTGGTAATGGGGATTTCCAAGGAGCGGCATGCTTTTTGGCAAACAACGTTTGGAACTAAACTGGACTTTGACCACAGAATACTGTTTTTCTGGCTCTTAGCGCCCTGGACTGAAAGTATTTTTGTTTCGCCTGGTCGAAGGTATGTTCGTTTGGTCACCAGCGCTTGGTCGCTATTCGACGATGCCTTTCTTTTCTGGCACGTCATACGCTTGAATTTACCTGAAATTCTATTCAGTTGTGCTCTTCTGAGGTGATGCTTGGGGGGTTTAGTCATTAGTCTAAATCCGAGGGTCTGTAAAGCATTGGTCCCTAGAATTAATGTGTCATCACCGCCCGCTCTTACGAACAGTGCAACACGCTGTTTTTCACCCCCTTCGAGCTCTAGAGGCAGTTTTACTGCTCCTTCGAATTGCATTTTGTTGCCTGACGCATCATAGATTGGCGACTGATTTTCTAGCGGGAATTCCTCAATGTCTTGGTTGACATTGGGGCCAGATAATTGACCTGCTCGCAGAACTGCGAGAGGTATTATGCTAATCTGAGATCCGGTGTCCAGGAGCGCAGTGCATGACAATCCCAACACCTTTACGGTTGCTGTCATTCGCTCCCCTACTAGACCTTCGTATCTCGACGGCGTTCCATCCGCTATGTCAGGTCGGCCATACAAAGACGCAGTAGCAACCCGGGCTCCTTCTGACAATTGCTTGCTTGTTGTCTTTGACTTTGTCTCACACCTCCTTCGAGCTCTAGAGGCACTTTTACTGCTCCTTCGAATTGCATTTCATTGCCTGACGCATCATAGATTGGTGACTGATTTTCTAGCGGGAATTTCTCAATGTCTTGATTGACATTGGAGCCAGATAATTGACCTGCTCGCATTACTTCGAGAGGTATTATGCTAATCTGAGATCCGGTGACCAGGAGCGCAGTGCATGACAATCCCAACAGCTTCACGGTTGCTGTCATTCGCTCCCCTACTAGACCTTCGTATCTCGACGGCGTTCCATCCGCTGTGTCAGGTCGGCCATACAAAGACGCAGTAACAACTCGTACGCTCTTTGCGTGATCTTCTCTAGTTCGACGCAGTAGGTTGTTATTGACCTAGGCAATGCCTCTGCCACGGACCGAGGAAAACCATCTAGTTTCGAAAACAACAAGTGTACAAGCATGTCATTTTCAAGTGCAAGTCCCTGGTACTTTAACTTAAACTGGGTCAGAAATTTGTCAAAGTCCTTCCCATTTGGATCATTATATATATTAACATCGGGCATGGTCAGCGCAGCGAACATTCGCGCCATTTCAACCCCTTGTAAAGAATTCAACGGAAGCTCTTTACACTCACCTTGGTGCTTGGATGGTGTTGTCGTCCCTATCCAAGCTGATCCCTTCCGCTTCGGCGAGTGCTCGCTCCTCTTTCCGGGCTGAAATGTATCAATTACGCCGATTGGCTGTATTTCGCCACGGCCTCGAGGTGGACTTATTGGATTACGCTGCTCACCTTGCGCGGCAGCGATCGGGTCAAAAGTCGCGTGGTACTCGGTGTTATCGAAGTCTGCCCGGTTGAGCTGCTCAATCGTGGCAGGGTTCGATGCCGCACTCGTCGATGGCGCACCAGGCTGCGGAGCCTGGAGAAATTCATTTTGAGCCCGTTCTGACATTGTTTCATTAAGTACTTTTTTCCTGGGACTGCTTTGAGCATTGTTACTACTTTGTCAACTACTTGGGTAGTGTCCACATCAAGCAGGCGCGCTAATTTCCGCATGCAATTATCATCATGTTCTGCTTGTGTTACAAGCTCTGTAAGTGAAGTTGGGACCGCTTGGTCCACCAAAGATTTGACTGAGCTTAGGTGATTATAGACAAACTGCAATTTCCTAACTTCTCCTTCGACGGTTTTAACATGTTCGAAAAGAGTATTTTGTAATACTTGAACCTGTTCCTTCTTTTCCTCCTGGATTGACTCATTTAAGTGCTCTATCATAGTTTCGGAAAAGTCTCGGAAGGTTTGTATTTTATCTGACAAATTAGTATAGGATACCCTCACCTGTAGCGCACTCTTGTGTGCGATCTCTTTCACCGTTCCGACCAGGGTGTCTATGGAAGCTTTCATCGAAGCTATCGGATCCGGTGCGACTAGGTCGTCGAGCAAAAGTCGTTCTATCTCATCTATCTGGGAGGTATCCATACCCTCAAAGTCTTCTGGGAAACTCATTTCGAAT